TTTTGACAGTGATAATAAAAAATGACCATGTTTAAGCCAATTTATAATCTTTCATTCAGAGTTTTAAGGACAGATTCCTGGGGGAAAATGTCTTCTATCCCCATCCTTAAAGGCCTAAATCCCCAATCCACCACCCACTCCAGTTTACATCATGCATTTTAAATAAATCCCATTTGCCTACATTGATATATGATAAATCAAAACCAATTTATTTCATAGTTAACTAGCCGATAACCCAGCGTTGCCTGGATATTTATTTATTTATTTATAGGGGGAAAATGTCCGGACCAAACATAATTTCTAATGTTGGATTTTCCCCCTTATCAGAGGGACCCTTCTTTTGGAGTACTGTGAAGCCGTTACCATGGCAATTCCACTGAACTATACAGTAGAAGCCAGTATAGCATTACGGCACAACATGCTATATCTTAACAGAACACACACTCTGAGGGATGTTAGGGTGTCTTACCCCCACAGTATTTTTCTCCAGAGAGTATATCTGTATATCAAGTTTGGTTGAAATTGCTTGAGGCATTCCAGAGTTATGTTGGAACATACACACACATAGCCATATGTGTATATACCTAAGACATATGGAGCTGTAGCTTCACTGAACATGTTAGATCATTCCCTCCCACCTGAACAGTGGGATTGAGAAGTGAGCTGACTATAAAATCTATACAATGATCTAGCACTGAACCTTTAGAAGATATAAAGACCAGACTAGGGATAAACTATGATGAAGAAAAACTATGTTGCACTAAGATTTAATACTGACTTGATGACAAGCAATCTATCAATGAGGACTGTGAGCTTTCCATCTTTGAAAGTTTACTAGAGGCTTGACAGCTACCTTTTCTAGGCCTTAGGATAGAGTGCTTGCAGAGTCCTATAGGTGAGGCTTTTGTTAGAAGAGGTCAATTTGTCCAAACACACACAGGATTTTCTTTGTAGTTTTTACTGTTTTTAAAAAATTCTTATTTGATGTAAGTCATTCAGTCATTTTGGAGTTAAATGGCCTCTGAATCTTCTAACATCAGTAACTGATTTTCTTGGAGAAGATTGGGTTAGATGAGGTTTGGAGTTCCTTCCAATTCTACAACTGACTTGGTAACACTGTTCTTGCTAGACATCTTGGCCAACAGTATAGAGTCACTCTTCCCTGCCTACTTTTCACTGAAAATCCCTTCCGCTCTAATTCAGCTGTCTGAAATGTCAGTAGAATATCAGTTTCATGACATTCAAACTTGGGGATGATTTCCTTTGTTCTCATAAGATAAATTTTGTGCTGAATTTGGATGGCTGTGTGTGTGTATGTGTACACGCGCACACACACACACACACACACACACACACACACACACACACACGTCAGCATTCCAAGTAATGCATCCAAAGAAATAAGAACTCCAATGTAGGAAGGTTCCTCAGAGAACATGTTTATTGGATACATCATATCAGTACAGCCAGTGAAAACCAACTCTAAAAGTTTCCTGTGTTTACCATGTAATTTAAAGAGCAAAGTTGCCTGCCCAGGTGTCACAGGTCACATTGTCCAATCAAAGCGAGTGGCAGGCTCCCTCGATCACTTCTGTTCCTCCTCCTACTGCCACCTGTTGGGATGACCTTGGTTCCGAATGGGAGAGCTCTTTATTTTGTCTAAGAGACGGTCTATCTATTTCCCCCTCATCCTTCCCCCATAGTGCATGGCAACTGAGAAGCATCACAAGATGGCTTAAGCCAGGTTTGATTCAGAGTTGACACACAGAGACACACAGTGTGTGTGTGTGTGTGTGTGTGTGTGTGTATGTGTAAGTATGATTATGGGTGTGTATAAAAGCAGTTTTTAAGTTTAAAAATCTTTAAATCATAATATGGTAACTGCTTTATTTATTTACAGTTGGACCTTGAATCAACAGACCACATTGAGGGAAGGCATGTCCATTAAATTTGGATGTCCATTAAAATCCAAATGCATATATTGACATAAATGGCATAATTTGCTTAATTGTTTTAATTAATTAGATTATATAATTATGTAAAAATACATAATTACATAATTACATATGATGTGAAATGGCATAAATAATGTAGGAATATGTCAGTTGCCTTGAAAGATTTGAGAAACAATACACTTGTTTGTTGTGTTGGGTACATTAGCATCAATTTGGTACCAAATGAAGACCTTTTAAAAGAGACACAATGGTTCAGCAGTTAGAGATGCTGAGCTTGTCAGCTGGAAAGCTGACAGCCCAGGTTCAAGACTCCACAGTTGTGCAATGCGGTAAGCTCACCTAGCAGTTTGAAAGCATGCAAATGCGAGTAGATTAAGCCACTTTGTGGAAAAGTAATAGTAACAATTGATGTGAAGTCCAAACACAAATTTATCAAGTCTGCTAAATTGGCATCCATTAAAGTTTTACAGTATTGCCTTTACTTTCCTCCTGCTTATAAGAAGTTTAGAGTGTGTTCATTGTGTACCACTCCTGTTTCATTTATTTTGTTTTATTTAAAGATTTAGAGGCTGCCCAAGTCTAAACACCTCTGGGTAGCTTCCATTAAAAATCCTCATAACACTTTGTGGTAACTTAGTCAGAACAATTTACCTAGTATTACACAGTAGGTTTCATGGATGAACTGTCATAGGATCTGTAGATTCTTAGATTTTACCTTCATGCTGAAATTATTACATCACACTGCCTCTAAGGTCTTACTGTGCATATTCTAAAGTGAGAAAGTCACATGTTTCCCTGCTAATTCTATAGCATGGAATTGATTTACATGTGCAAAATGTCAGTTTTCGGTGTTATCTGAAAGCACATTAATATTTGGGTTGGTTGAATGTAGAAAATTGATTTTCTGTCAATCTCTCTAAATCATATCAGAAAATGGTACTTAAAGAAGATAGTTAACAATGTTTTGGATGCAACTGGAAAGTTACAAATGTGGCTAAATTATAGCAGGCTTGACTTGTTATTATTACATAGTCTAAATTATGGTAAAACTGCCCTCCCACAATGAATTGGAGTAGCAGATTATTTATTTTACAAGATTAATATATTTATGACTCCATGACCCATGTGACTTTCTTATTAAATAATAGAGATGGGGAACTACAGTTTTAATCCCCTGTTTTGCTTTTCTGGACAATATGTATGATTATACACATACATAGAACTAGACAATAGCAATAGAAATAGCAATAGCAGTAGACTTATATACCGCTTCATAGGGCTTTCAGCCATCTCTAAGCGGTTTACAGAGAGTCAGCATATTGCCCCCAACAATCTGGGTCCTCATTTTACCCACCTCGGAAGGATGGAAGGCTGAGTCAACCCTGAGCCGGTGAGATTTGAACCGCTGAACTGCTGATCTAGCAGTAGCCTGCAGTGCTGCATTTAACCACTGCGCCACCTTGGCTCCTCAGTCTTAGAATATATTTTTTTCATTCAAATCTTAGAGTTGTCAAGGATTACCTGGTTTTCCCTACTTTGATCAATATAGAGCTCAGAGGGGTTATGAGCATCTTGACAACTCAGCCTTTCATCTATAAGAACTGGATGTGCTGAAGTGAAGAATGAAATGCCCAAAATCTGTCATTTCAGCAGGTCAAGCATGGATGCCTAAACACAATCAATCCTGGTTCATTATTGTATAGTAAAACTTTTTTGCAATGGACTGCAGTGACAAAAATCATAGTCCAAAGAATGACTAGAATTTGGTAACGTATCATTTTAAATTCTTGAATTCCTTTCTTTCTTGGCAGCCATTCCCACATACGTCAGAGAGTTTAGTGATATCCAGTTACTGAATAAAAATGAATCCAAATACATTGAAATCTTAATTCTAATTCTTTTTTGGAGTTCATGAAGAAAAAAAGTGAGAAAACCCCACCACATGCTGGGCTTATTACCGAGTGGCACACATACAAGACATATTGACATTATATTTTTGTTATAAGAACTATCAATTTTTCTGACAAGTAGTTCTTAACAGCAGAGGTTATTGGAATATTCTGAATTGCAGCTCTAGTCCAGTCACTAATATTTAGTCCAGAGTTCTTCCCTTTCAACTTTCTAAATATCAGGACAGGGCTGGTTGCATAGACTGGAGTGACCCAAGATGCATCTGGTTCAAGAGGAAGGTTTTTGTCTTGCATCTCAAAGAAAATGGGAAAGGCAAATAGCATACAAAGTTCTTACATAGTGATCCCATGTTCTTACAGTGTATGTTACTAGATTAACCTTCCCCAACTTTTATGTTCTTCAAATGTACTACTCAGCCAGATAACCTTTGCTCATTCTAGCTGGGGATTTGGGGAAATGGCATCTGGATAAGAAAGGCTTTTCTAGAAACACTTTTATTTAAATCAGTATTTCTCAACCGTGGCAACTTTAAGATGTGTGGAATTCAACTCCCAGAATTCTGAAAGTTGAAGTTCACACATCTTAAAGTTGCTAAGGTTGAGAAACACTGATTTAAAATATGGAGAGCGTTTCTTGAAACAGCTAGTTCCTCCAGAAGGTTTAAATGCTTTGCTGGATTCGGGCCAAAGAATTAGCGGAACTCCTTCCCGGATCAGAGTCACCGAAGAGGGGGACAAATCACCGCTGCATGATATTGTACACCCACATCGTTTTAATGCAGATATCGGGGGATGGAGGACGGATCCTCGTTCATCGGCCGCGACTCTCTTTACTCTATGCAGCATCATTTGCATTTGTTTCCGACTATTTCACTGTGGGAAGGAGGGTGTCACCCGCACCAGTTTACAAATAATAATAATAATTTAAAAAACCGGGCTGAAGACGGCAGTCCCAGTTCAGGACACGAGAAGCAACTTCTTAAGGGGATCTTGAAAAGTGCTGATCTGCATAAAGCGCTGAGGCGACGCGACGTTTAAGTGGCAGCCAGCGCGCTTCTGATTCGTCCGCAGAAAAGTTGCCACTCCGACCGGCGTTAATCACAATTGCGGTGGCTCTTCGCTGCTTTTCATTCATCCCTGCCTCTTTTTTTCTTTCCCCCGGGGCTCTTCGAACGGCTTGCCTGTTTTGTCCTCTGTGCGCGTGTCCGTACATCTTTTCGCTACTGTTTTCTGTTGTCTGGCGTGTGTTTCACCCCCTAGTGATTGCTGCAAGGCTCCTCCTGCGATCTGCAAAAGGGAGACCTTCCCTGCAATCGTGGCTCTGCTCCCCAGCGTCCTTGCTGGCAACCGGGAATTGAGCAAAAGGGAACCTTGGCCGAGCGCAAACCACACAAGGTGAGCAACGTTTCCTCCGCCTCTCCTGCCAGTACCTGCAGCTTCGGGTTATTGAGGTTGATGCGGGTCCGTGGCTCCGTCCAGCGCTGTGGCTGATTTCAAATAAGGTAAGAAAAGGCGCTTCTCTCTTTCTCTCTCTCTCTTTCATCCTGAAAGACGTTTCCCACCACTAAGCAGCGCCTTCTGTCTCAGGACGATCCGCTGGTGACTTTAGAAACTCTCTTGGAGCTTCACTTAAAAAAACAAACGGACAAACACACACATCTCCCGGTTTACAACTTTGAAGGCTATTCCTGGTGACAGCAGAATGGATCGAACCAAGATGATAGTTAAAGAGGCTCTTGGGATGCGTTTGCAGGCTATCTGGGTCCGGCTCCAATTTGGCAGCCAACGAGTCATTGCCAAGAGATTAGGCTGTCCTGAGCAGTGTTTTAGAAAAGGGCTGGCCAAGTTTCTTCCTACGGAAAAGCCTTAAGCTTTTAAATTACATATTTACAACTCTTTAATAGTTGTGCTTCATAAGCTAAATGACTTCCATATAACTTAAAAAACAACTAGTTTTTCTCCTTCAACATTTTTGCACCAATCTGGTTAGAGATTCAATTAAAGAATCTTGACTTTTCTCTTTAAGATGATAAATGGCTTTATTTTTAAAACAACCACAACCATCCCACTGAGTTCCCTTGGATAGTTTGACATGCCTGTTACCTGAACATGGCACTTTCTCTAAAATATACTAACTTGAAATCAACTACTTTTTTATGTATTCCCTTTTCTTCATTCCTACGTTTTCCTTCCATTATTAATCCACTCACTATTTTGTTAATGGAGCCTTGGTTATTGTAAACAATAAAAGATGACATCACATCGTGCATAAAACTGGAGCCATAAAGAAAGGACTATTGAATTAATAATACATGTATAAAATGTAATAAAGACCTTCATAATAAAGTTTAAGGTTTGTCACTACCTGGTCTTCAGTTATCTAAACCATCTGCAGATATATTTATTTATATACATATGAGATAATGTTGTTTAAAGTTATTTGTCACAGTTATCTCTTTTGACGTTAAATGGAGATTTATTTTTTGTAAAGTAAGGACTGGATAGAACTTTACATTAAGGAACAAACCAATACTGTAAGATATGTGCCAATTATTTAAGATACTTTCTATTTTCCTGGGAGTAACTCATAACTATTGTGTAAACATATTGAGAATGCACTTTGAAATACTATGAAGAGGAAGAAAGTCAGTAAACATACCTAAAAGTAGGGTAATTCATGTTTTAACAACAGATTTGTACAAGGTTGAACAGTATTCTTCAAATTTACTAAACTTGGCAAAACCAAACTTCGTATACAATTGCAAAATGTAAAAAGACAATGATTTGCATTCCTCCTGAAATTTTCATCTTTCAATTGATCATTCATTGATCTTTCATTTCCAACTTTAGATATCCTTATGTAACAAGTTCATATAAAAGATATAGGAACTGACTTCATACAATGCTTGTGGTGGGGTAAAGTATTGACATCTTAAATGTCATCACTATATCAGGTTATGGTCTTTTGATTTTCACTAGCAATCAATCGAACAAAAGAACTAATCCCCAATATAAGAAGGCTTTTATATTTCCTACTATCTACCCTTTTTTGTTTTTAGAAAAAGCCCCTCTGAATTTCTTTTCCAGTGAACCTTTTAACAAATGTAAAACTGTGTGCTCTCAGTTAGACTTAAAAATTAAACAATAGTTTCTATTCACTGACTGTGGTAAAACCAGTTTGCTATTAATTGGCCCAGATGGATGTACGTATACAGTTTTATTATGCTATTCCAACATAATCAGGTGTGGGTTTTTTTCAGACTTGTAACATTCTATTGAGAGAAAAAGTGCACTGAAATTTTCCAATAAGAAAGGAGCAGGAGAAGCTGCTTGATTTGAATTTTGCTATTCAGGGGAAAGATGGGAAGAGATATTTCTCTACTTGTTAACTCATCCTTTGACCTCAAGATAATTCAGAGTTGAATCTGAGACCATTGATACTATATGTATTATTAGGGTTGCTTGGGATTCTTCATTTTTTTGACATCTTTGGTGAAAACCCAAACCTTACACTTTCCAGTACAAATAATTTTAAAACGTGATTGTGGAATCATTTTATTATTGGATCAATAGAGAACAAAATCTCCCATAGTCTCTATTCCAATGAAGTTATATTTATAAATATGGTTTAATGCATTATATTTACAAACTGTTTCATTCCCAGTACATATGTTTGTCTACACATGAGCAGTTTCAGTTTTCTTAAGGTGCAAATCTTTATATGCAAACTTGGAAATAAATAATTTCCTAGAACTAATAGTAAGAATAAGACAGATGGGATGAAAAAAAATATAATAGATGGTTAATAACTTCAAGTCTGATAACTGTGATTGTTCAGTGAATTATGGCAAAGCATAGAACCTGGAATTCAGGAAAAGGTTAATTCTAATTTCACCAAGTTCAGAAATTATCTGTACTGTGTGAACTGCTTCAAATCTCCTATATAGGTTGTTGACCCCTTAACTTTAATGTATGTTTCTCCAGGGTGACTTCAATATGATCTGCCTTATAGTGTCAGATGAAAAGCTACTTCCTATTCAGCTATTTACTATTAATACTATTTAGTATTCTTATTATTTGCTATTAAGTTATTTAGATGAAAAGATGTTCAGAATTCAACAGGTACCGCAAGAATATGACTGTTTTGCTTCCTCAATACTTCTTTGTCAGCGTTATTAAGTTTATTGCTATGCAAGCAAATTACCATATTATTTATTTCACTTAAATGTATTTTTGTTTTACTTTTCTGAATTGCAATCAGTCACGGGATTTTTAGGATAATGGACAAGCTGTTTTAAATAAACACTCTATTAAAATGGCTTTATTATGAAGGAAATCCTGAAAACTCTACATAATACCACAAAAGCATGTCATTTATTTTATTGACTGAGTTGGTGTGTGTGTGTGTGTGTGTGTGTGTGTGTAGAGTTGGGAATGGAAGATTTCCTCCTGTGAACTCTACCAAGATTTTAACTTAGATGGATTTTTTCCCAACTTTCTTCTACCGGGACGAGTACATTGGAAATAACTGCACTGAATCAAACTTTTATTAGTCCACTGGGTTTAGTATTATCTACCGTACATAAACTGGCAATTGCACTACAGAATTTCAACCCAAGATTTTCCCCAACCCTACTTGGGTGTGCTAGGGCCAAATCTGAGAACATCTGAGTGCAGAGCACATGCTGTGGCTCTTATTTTCTTACTATTTTCTTATTTCTCATTATGTCCCAGCTTTTCGCTAGATGCACAGTCTTCATCTATCCTTCTTCTAGCTCCTATCGCTATGCCTCAGGAGGACAAGTCTATTGAAAGACATCTCCTATTAGGAAAAGCATGCTTGATTCTTTGGCATCCTTTCCAGCATTTACAAAATCATCAACCTACCCTTCAGTAATTCATACTTATTGTTTAAGTATTACTTATTACTGTGTACTCATGACTTATTGAGCCAAGTGGTATTATATATTTAAGAATATGTTCTTGAATTTGGTTCAGAGCCAGTTCAAGATACTCTGCAGCTGAAGGTGAGCTTATGTCTGATCAATGCCTTGTACAGAATGGAACTGGACCATTCACTTCGATGCTGGAGATGTGTCGGTATCTTCTATTGTAGCCAAGGGCAGTAGCCTAGTTTAGAGAGTGTATGATGACAGAGTTCCCAGCTTAATTCACATGAAAGGAGAAAGGCTCAGCACCATACAGAGTAAGACTATTGTCTGAGGAACCTGCCTCCTTCTGTGTACAGGTAGTCATCAATTTATGACCATCATTGAGTCCAAAATTTATGCTGTTAAGTGATTATTTTTTTAAATGAATTTGTCCCATTTTACAACTTTTCTTGCCACATTTGTTAAATGAATAGTTGCAGTTGATAAATTAATAACATGGTTAAGTGAATCTGGGTTCTCCATTGAGTTTGCTTGTCAGAAGGTTGAAAAATGACTCCTGAACACTGCAACTGTCGTAAATATGAGTCAGTTGTTAAGCATCTGAAGGCAAATCACATGACCATTGGGATGCTGCAATGGTCATAAGTGTGAAGAATGGTCATAAATAACTATTTTCAGTGCCGCTGTAACTTCAAACCATCACTAAATGAACTGTTGTAAGTTGAGGACTACCTGTACTTGTTGGAGGGCCAGCTTTGTATGATTTGATGGTAGCAGTGCTTTTCAATGAATAGTGCAACTTTGATGAATTAAAGTTGAAAGAGTTTGGAAAAGGAAAAAGAATTAAAACATACTAAAAATAAGCAGACTATGATGACAATAGATGGGTAAGGAAAAAAATAAACTGGAGTCTTTGGTAGAATTCATTACCTAATTTGCCAGTCTATACTTCAGTTAAAAATGCTTTAACTAAGTGGATTAAAGGATTAAATCATATAAAATAAAGCACTATATATGATCAAGACAGAAGCTGTAACACAAAAATATGCCTAAGACCTAGAATGTTTAAAATGTTTAAAAAGCCAACTGCAATGAAACCACAGCTGTCCATTTGCTTTAATTCAATGAGAATGAAAAATTAGAATATTACATGCAATCAATAAAACAATAAAACAAGGATTGTACATAGAACAATATCGGACCTCTGAAAAGTATAAGCATGCATATGTACTCAGTACTTGGTTTGGGCCCCTTTTGCAGCAATTACTGCCTCAAGGCATGGAAGCTATCAGCCTGTGGCACTGCTGAGGTGTTATGGAAGACCAGGATGCTTCACTAGCGGCTTTCAGCTCTTCTGCATTGTTCGGTCTCATGTCTCTCATCTTTCTCTTGGCAATGCCCTAGAGATTCTCTATGGGGTTCAGGTCAGGCGAGTTTGCTGGCCAATCAAGCACAGTAATCCCACGGTCCTTGTTTTGATGCTTTTGACAGTGTGAGCAGGTGCCAAGTCCTGCTGGAAAATGAAGTCAGCATCCCCATAAAGCTCGTCTGTGGAAGGAAGCATAAAGTGCTCCAAAATGACCCTGGACTTAATGAAGCACAGTGGACCAACACCAGCAGATGACATGGCTCCCCAAATCAACACAGACTGTGGAAACTTCACAGTGGACTTCAAGCGTCTTGCAGTGTGTGCCTCTCCATTCTTCCTCCATACTCTGGGTCCTTGGTTTCCAAATGAGATGCAAAAGTTGCTCTCATCAGAAAAGAGGACTTAGTGAAGCAAGAGACCAGATTTGTTTTTCTTTAGCCCAGCGGCTTGACAAGAGGAACACGACATTTGAAGCCCATGTCCAGGATCCGTCTGTGTGTGGTGGCTCTTGATGCACTGACTCCAGCCTCAGTCCACTCCTTGTGAAAGTCCCCAACACTTTTGAATGGCCTTTTCCTGACAATCCTCTCCAGGCTGCGTTCATCCCTGCTGCTTGTGCACCTTTTTCTTCCACAGTTTTCCCTTCCACATAACTTTCTATTAATGTGCTTTGATACAGCACCTTGGGAACATCCAACTTCTTTTGTAATTACCTTTTGGGACTTTCCCTCCTTATGGTTTTTTGCACAACTGTCAGGTCAGCAGTCTTTCCCATGATTGCGATTCCTACTGAACCAGACTGAGAGACCATTTAAAGGCTCAGGAACCCTTTGCAGGTGTTATGGCTTAATTAGCTGATTAGAGTGGGACACTTTGAGCCTAGAATTTTGCACCTTCTCACAATATTCTAATTTTCTGAGATTGTGGATTTGGGTTTTCATGAGCTGTAAGCCATAATCATCACAATTATGATACATCATGGCTTGAACTATATTGCTTTGCGTGTAATGAGTCTATCTTATATATTAGTTTCACCTTTTAAGTTGCATTACTGAAATAAATGAACTTTTGCACGATATTCTAATTTTTTGAGTTTCACCTGTATATGCAATGTTCATGTACTGGAGTGTTGATTAATATTCATGGAGCTGAGTGATTGATTAATAAAAGTTTGTACCACTTGCCTGTGTGAATTTATTCTGCTGTTGGGCAAAAAGAAGAAGATATTTTTACCACTAGTAGCAGGCAAACAAGGAACAAGAGCTGCTACTCTCATTTTTATATAATTTATTATTTATTAAACACATTTCTATCACACCACAATCAAAGTGACTGTTGGCAGTTTACACAGAATATATACAGGATAATTTAAAACATTGACGGTCAATTTAAAACTATTCAGAAACTTTCCCTCTGGCATACAAGAGGTAAAACTGATTTATATAGATATATTTCAGGTTTTCTACAATGTTATGCCAACAACTTGTTTTAGCCCCCTCTAGCAGCAATTGGTGGATATACTTTCTGCATTGATTTTCTGATCACTGATAAGGTTATTTTTATAAAACTTACAGTGTTTGCAAAGTTTTATTACTTAAAGTAGCATCAAAGTTTTGGAGGGGATCTTGCCAAAAGGATTTCAGATGGATTGCTGTGGATGCTTATTTTTATTCCTTTTTTTGCTTATCATGAGTGATAACATCTCCTGTCCCAAAAATATATACCCAATAGCAGAAAAATTCAAATAGGCAGATTGTGCAAATGTTGACTCTTTCCCTCCCCTCCCTTCTTTTTATCTCTGTTTTATTTTCTGGCTAAAGGCCATAAAATTGATTTAAATTGGAAACTGAACAAATTACAGCTATAATAAGAGCCATCAGGGAACACTAAACAGTGATACAAATGAAAGATGGCATCATAATACCTACATAAGCAGGGGGAAAGACCCCTGAAACAATTTCCATTAGTGACAATTTCCATTAGCCAGAAATTTTCTAAATATGGATTATTAGTAGAAGACAAGTCAAGTTATACCTGACTTATTACATCTCAGTCCATGACTGGGTCTTCATACATTACTAAACTACAATGTTCTTAATGAAGATATACTGGAAAAGTCACAGTTGGGTAATATGATGCATGAAATAGTGATTTGTAAATACAATTTGTGGTTTAGCAGATTGTCTGAAACAAGTGCATGCATACTTTCCTGCATAACCACAGTAATTTTCCTTTCTATTAGAGAAGATTATGTCTGGGCAACAGAATAACAAAGCTGCCCATGGCCAAATGAGGCTCAAAGTTCATATAATCTAAGTTTTTCATTTGAACTTAGCAATACATACTGTATATAATTCAGGTTACAACATACTCTAGAAGCCAAAAACCAATATAAAAATATTAGGAGTGCAGAAGGTAGTTTTGCACCTGACTAGTATCCATTTAGTCTTTTGCAATGTGTCTGGCAATATCTTCCCAGAACTTGGGAAAGAGGTTGGTTTTATTTATTTATTTTTACATTTTTTTACATTTACTACTTAATCCTTTTGAGTACAACCTTGTACTGTAGTGTAGAGCCTATGAAATCATACTGCTCTACAACCCAATTTTTTTTAAAGATTCAAATAGGTGAGTTTCAGGCATCTAATTTTCTTCCTAGTACAATTCTAAGATCACATTTGGGGTGTTTAATGACTTTTCTTCATACTATGACTACCAAAGTTTTCATTTTGTGTGCAGGTGTTACCTTTAATTCTTTAAAGTAGGCGCCATTCAAAGTAACAATACTAGTAGAATAAGGCAATCTCTGTCTCCAGGAGTAAATAAAAGCTCTTTTTTATTTAAGAAAGCGTATGGATAGAAGGAACTTTTCCCGTGAGCAAACAATTTATCATCTGCCATCATATGCAAAGCTGAGACCATATTAATTATATTTATACCTAAAGTGCCCTGAAGTTCCAGTATTGCTTCCAAGTGCTGTAATAGACATTTCCACAGCCAAGATACTGTAGAAAGGACAATGAATCAAAACGTCATAGTGAAAAGCATTTAGCTTGATTATGAAAAGATACCTCATAAAATAGGTACTGGGTTTTGAATAAGAAAAAAGGAGGCAAATATGAAATTTATGTTCCAAATGTATCTTATTATATCTGAGTTTTGTGCTCTAACTTCAGGTATTCCAGGAAGGTATTTATTTAGTGAACTTTTTTTTGAATATACAATATTAAATAGGGAAGGTTTTTTATCCAGTTTAGTTCTAGATAAAGCAGATAAGATTTATTTCAGTACTTTTTTGAAGTTGCACCTGCTAACTTTATTCTAATGCCATGAAGATATCCAAACGACATAAAAAGGAAGAATATTTAGTAGCTAAAATTCATTAGGATAGCTGTTTTGTCAATGGCAGAAGCATGCCAAGGGCTTCAGTCAAATGAATATGGTTAATCTAAGAAACTTTTTATTCATAGGACTAAATCTGTTAGCTGTTCCCTTCTATCTTATTTAATAATGTCTCCTTCATTCATTTATATTATATTGATATTATCAAGGTTAGTGTCAAATTTTGATTTTCAAAAGCTTATTTCTGAAAGCAGCTATGCTGTTTTTCTTTTTTCCTCCAGGATCCATCGGAAGCACATTTACAGATCTGCCAAGTTTGTGGGAAGAAGTAGCTGTTCTCTTATTCTGTTCTTCTAAAGAATGATGTAAATGCAGAACTTGTAGCCAAGTACAACATGGGCGCTAACACCTCTAGCAAGTCACCAATATACGATGAGAATGAAGATGGTAAGATGAAGATTGCGTTGTTTAAAATGCATTGCTAAATTAAATGTCCCCAGCCCAAGGCTGTTATATAGGTTTATAGTAGGTATCTCTGTCAGCCACTATAGCCTGTTGACATGCTGTAGGAAGGTAATGGAATCTATTGTCTATTACAAATGGCACTATATTGGAAAAGACACATTGAGATGCCATAATGGAGCTTTATCTATGGAATTCTTTATTACAACTGCCGCTGTGATAGTTATGGAGCAACACCAGGTGTTTTGGTTTCATTGGGCTTGCTCTCTTCTGGTTCTTTGTTGTTGCTAATTCCCTGTCTGTTTGGAATCAGCTAAGGATCTGGGGCAGATCTGAAAGTGGTACTTTGATTTGCTATCTGATACATCAAAACTACAGACTGGAATTGAATCTCTGGTGAACTGTTGTAGGGTTTTGGGATCAAAATTTTCTTATTTTGTATATGAGAACTATTCTGTTACTTCTTAATGAATTGTGAGTATGATCAATTACAAATTAATACTAGGTCTTCAATTTCTGCCTTTGAAATTATGGAGGTTCCTTTCTTTGCTTATGTTTTCAGAAACACAATAACAAAGTCATGGTTGACAATGTATGAAATATGCATATCACAGTTAAAAGTCTTATTGAGGGAGATCTTGGAAGCAGTTTTGTGGGCCACCCTTATCTCCAAGGACCCTTCCAACAATACTATTAGTATATGACTGCTTCCTTGATTACACTAGACAACATACTATAGGCATCTGACACAGGTAGCAGTAGTCATTATTCTTCCTACCACGGATGATCCAAAGAAATCAAAGCTTCTTTTGATTTCAGATCATAATATTCCAGAATATTATTCTGGAATAATATTGGGAATATGCAACAGTGAAGAGGAAATTTTATTGCAAGTTTTATATAAAAACAGCATGCTGGTATTTATTAATCATTCTTATTTATAGTGTACTATATTCATTATGGGTTATATCCATATATAGCCTTATTTAGAGGAATTGCAGAGAAATAAATTGGATTAAGTACTTCTGATTTCAGGGGATCTACTTGAACTATGATTACATCTGGTTACAACTTAATATCTGCCTATTTCATATCCACTATGAAAAACAGCCAGACTTTCTGAAATATTGCCAAGGATTTTCACATCACTCTGGGGCATTTCAATTCACAGGCAGCTACTGTGCTATGAAGTCCTTAGGGATATTAGCCAGGTGCCAATGTTAGTTTTCTCTAGTTACCAGCTGGTGACATTTGGTAACTGTAGTTTTACATTTTATTTACTCTGGGCTTTTTTTAAAAGTTCTATGAAATGTCATGTTTGGGGTGTTGTGACGGAGTGTAATAACATCAGGCATGGGTGAAATAATGTGTCATTGTTGTTGATTTGAAGAATGCATTCCCTTGGGACAGTGGTGGTTTTCAAAAAAATTTGGAACCTCTTCTGTAGGTGTGGCCTGCTTTCTGGCTCCACTGGTGGAGCCTCTTCTAACCGGTTCGGTAGATTTGACGAACCGGTTCTACCGAATAGGTGCGAACTGGTAGGAACCTCTGCCTTGGGAATAAACTAATGGGATACCAGTGATAGGGTGGGTGAGCAATAAAATTGGATTGAAGCAAAGGTAGGTAAGGTATGCAGTTTCTCTCTTTTGAAAAATCTTTTTTTCTTTTAATAAAATTATCTTTTTCTTTGTTATCCATTCCCCTTTGGCCTGGCCCTCCTAGCTCTGCATATATCTATAGGCAGCCTGGCAGAGAGGAGTACAATTGGCGGCTTTCAATGGGCTCTGCTTGAAATTAGAGACTAGACTAGATTGAGACTATAGCAAGTCAGGCTGAGAGCTAAATCTGGTCACAGACAATGATTTGCCTTGAGCAAGTTGAGTAGCTATTTGAAAAGGAGCTGGTTCTGTTTAACAATCCCCACCTCATTGGGCATAGGAATTAATTATTTGGATGGGTGAGCGAATACTTTTGGCAATATAGTGTATGATAAATGGAGGTGTTTGAGAGCTTCCCAAAATTCTCAGGGGGGAAAAAATGGCCGAACTCATAATTTTCTAAGATAGTCAAAGAACATAGGATGTCTTTTTGCCATTCCCATGAAGTTCAGAAAAAATATGCTGTAGGATTGAAATTGAGGAGTGGAACAAAATCCTTGTAAGGATAATCTGCCTTTGACACACCCACCCCACCTTGTAAATTAGCTCTATAGGTTTTCACTCTATTCCCAAGGTGGTTTAATTACATTTTGCTAATATTGTAGTAATTATGAGGGTAGTAGTTTTGATATTCATTTCTAAGCCCATCTTCTAAAAACTGGATAGAAACATATTAGAACATTGAAGCCTATAAAAAATCTGATGAACATAGCAATAGCAATAGCAATAGCAGTTAGACTTATATACCGCTTCATAGGGCTTTCAGCCCTCTCTAAGCAGTTTACAGAGTCAGCATATTGCCCCCACAGTCTGGGTCCTCATTTCACCCACCTCAGAAGGATGGAAGGCTGAGTCAACCTTGAGCCGGTGAGATTAGAACCGCTGAATTGCAGATAACAGTCAGCTGAAGTGGCCTGCAGTACTGCACCCTAACCACTGCGCCACCTCGGCTTTTATACAGCTGCAATAACCAAACTAACTCACAAACAAATATAACTGATTAAAGATGGAGATAGGCAGCCATTTTTAGATACAAGCCAGACCTATCACTGAGGAAACCCAGAATTAGGCTTCAAATTTCTTTTGTTGACACAATTTTTCTACAGGAAACATTTTCCTATATAAATGATTGAGAATAGTTTTTTTTTTAACTTAGAAAGGTATTGATTATGTATGAGATAGTTACCGAACCCCAACCATTAACTCTAATGTTTAATCCTTTAGGTCAGATTATGAACTTTCTGTTTATGGAACTTTTCCTTTCTTCCCTCTTTCTCAGGAGTTCTTCATATAACTTTCAAAAAGAGGCATTTAAAAATTTTCTGTTGAGCAGTTTTAATCTCAGTACAAGTTCTGGCTCAGCAGGATCCTTCTTTCTGCCAATAATGATGCAATGATAGACCTAACCAATCTTTACACCTGCATTTGCCCTTTTTATCTTTTAAAGGGAATAATGCTTAGGAAAAGGCCACAAAGGTGTGTTTACTTGTGAGCTGGAGCATAATTTTGTGGTAGCAGCTCAGGAAGTCTGATGGTTGACATGTATGAATGTTATTGTAACAGATCTTGTCACACCTCTCTCTGTTTCAAAACTCACTTGTTCTGTTCTTCTCAGCTTATGCTCTGCTGTCATCTGTTTTAATGGTTGCATGTCTTTCATGGCTCCATATCAGAGGTTCTTTCTTGGTTCCTTAATTTCCTCTTTTGCTACATAATTAAGCTGTATTCTTATGCAAACATGGATCAACTTGAAACACTCAGGTATAAGATAGCTCACAGCTTAGATTCTTTTCAAATTTCAGGATTTAATTTGCAATGCAACTACTCCATTTTTATAAAGATGTTTCAATCTTGTATGTTAATAATTGGATTGTTCCCAAAATATTATTAACTGGAATCTGGGACTTGGGAGGGGGAGGAAGTTGTTAGCAAGTTATTAGAAAATTAAAATGGTTTCAAGTTTCAAGTCAGGTTTAGGTTTTAACCACCTCTATCAGATTAATTGTGGCATGGGAACACTTAATCTAAGTCAATGTATGCACTTTGCATTCTCAGTTCTTCAAGAAAAAAGATAGATGATTTCATGCCATTACCAGTGCTGAGTTGGGTTTGACAATTAACTGTAATAGAATTTGTCTGTTGGCAAGGAGTTGATTAGATGACCTCTAAAATTCAATGATTCAAGCTTTGAGGGATCTGAGGAAAATTATTCTTGCAGAAATCTGAGGGTTATTACATGTATGATGAATATGCTTTGTTGATTTGATACAAGTATATCATCAGTGATATACTTATACAACCTAATGATCAAAACCTCTCACTAGTGATTAAATCTCACCAAATCTTAGGAAGACCAAATATACATATGCAAATGCATAGGAGTATTTACTATTTTGAAAGTAATAGCTATGGCTAAAACCTGCCACACAATCTTGGAATATTAATCCAATAAAGCCTTACTTGTGGAGGTGCCTATGGGAATGGGATGAAGCTACTGAATTATCTCAATCTTCCAATATGTGGACTATGGCACATCAATTGCCATTTTACATCACCTTTGAAATCAGCCTTAGTTCATTGCAATAGTTCAACATTCAGGTGATAAAAGCATATATTTCCATAATTAAGTTCGACCACGACTGGTGAATGGACTACCTAAACCAAAGTGGAGTGATAACTTGGCTTCTACTTCTCAATGTCTCTACCTGCTAATCAAACAATAATAATGAGTCAAGTGGACTGTCAAAGGAAGAGAAACCATTTGTTCAACAACTTCTCTCCTAGCACAATTGAACACAAACTCTTAAAGGAAGGAAGGAAGGAAGGAACAGTAAAGCTTACCCCCCAGCAGATCTGGGTGATCCACAAATATACCATGAATTGTCATGGTATTAAACAATGCTAAAAGTTTCACCAAGACTAGAAAGGCTGAATTCCTTGGATTCAGAATGTGATGTAAGTAACCTGATATAGTGACCCATGTAGTTTTCATCTCATGCCCAGGCCTAAATTCTAAATTAAAGGGACCCATGATATATTGTTTGAATGTTCAATAATATGCATTACATTCTTTAATTTCGTTCATAATCCAGTTCTGAGACCCACCAATTGCCATCTCCTGAATCGAGGGACAATTTTCTTTCATTTGAGGATGCCTTGATCCTTGTTTCCAAGGATTTGGAAATTTGGTCTCTTCATTTCAGGGGTCTACCTGCTGGCACATGTTCTTTGATGATTAGGTTGTTTGTAGATTTATAGTGATGCCCTCTGAATGTCACCATTTCCATTATTGTACATCATGGCACTAGAACCTGTAATAAATGCTGA